CAGTCATGCCATCAGCATATGCTGTCACCTGAACTGGGAGGCCAGCAGCCAGGGTTGCAGTCAATGGGAGGGCCAGACCTATCAGGCACTGCTGGAGCAATGGCTCAGTGGTTAGAGCATACAAGCATTCCAGAGTGGGGGCAGCCCTGCCAGATTCCCCTGCATGCTGGGAACAGGGCCCACAGCTCTCCATTCAGCTTCAGGAGGCTAGAGATGTCCTAGTACCAGAGCCAGATGGTCAATGTGAGGAGGGGCTCAAACCCAAAAGCTTCCAAAGTCTGGAATAAAAAGCTGTGGTTGACCCAATCAAAGTCTCTGTTGACTCAGGGAGACAAGGCCAGTGTTCAGGCCAAAAAGTTCTGTAGCTGCCAGCAGGTCATGCAACACAAATAGGTTGTCCTGGATGGTTCTGCCAGGTACACAGTAGTTCTGTTCAGGGCCTATGACTGAGGCCATGACCATTTTGGGCCAGTTAGCCAGGCCTTTAGTCAGTATTTTATAATTGGTACAGAGGAATGATTCCAGTCACCAGGTCTTAATGTCACTGAAATCCCCTTTCTCGGGCAGTAGTGTGAGCACTGCCTGTCAGCAGCTGACTGTTAGAATCCCGTCTTCAAGGTTCTCCTAGAAGATGCAGTGGAGGTCTAGGCTGAGGAGGAGCCAGAAAGTCTTATAGACTTTGAATGGTAATCTGTCGAGGCCTAGCATTTTCCCTGTGGTGGTTAGCTCTGCCAAGGAAAACTCCTGTTCAAGCTTGTCAGTCTCAGACCTGTGAAATGGCGAGGCCCTTGTGAAGGTGCTGAATGCCCTCTGGGCAGACCGGTTTGGTTGCAAATCGCTCCAATAGCTAACAGCATGCTCTTAGATTTTGGCAGGGTCTGTGAGCACCTGGCCCAATGGGGTTTTAAGGTGGCTAATGATCTTTTGTTCTGTGCACTTCTTCTCTAGGTTGAAAAAGAAATAGGTCAGAGTATCAGCCTCTGTGAGTTCTTGGAAGTGGTTCGAGTTTGTGTGCCCAGGCCATGCCTTCTATCAATTCTCTCAAGCATTTTTTTCTGGCGTTTTGAGGCTCTCATAGAGTCCGTGGTCATTACCAGCATCCCTCATAGCAGCCTCAAGCTCCACTGGACAATCACTGAAATCAACCTTAGTGTCCATGAGAAGAGAATGTCAATACCTGTGGTGGAGCTGGTGCCATGGCTAAAGAAATTTCTTCTCCTCCAAATGGTGTGCCAATCTGTTTCATTGGTCCCATCTCTGTGCATATCTTGCAACGTGATGAAATCTAACCATTTCTGGCTGAGGAACTCAAAGAAAACTGCTCACGTTCTGGGGTTCCTGTATCCCATGGGTTGGCAACATTTTTAGCCCAAGTTCCAAAGTCACCTCAACCTCCACCCCAGCCTCGACTTGGGGGAGCCACAAGAGGCCTGATCCTCATTGTTGGCAATGGCTGCACCCATGCCTCCAGGTGGACGGTGGAGAGAGGCCAGGGTTGCACTGCCCCAGCATCTTCTCCAACATGTGCTGCGAGCTGTGTGTACACCTGCCACCGCCATGGAGCTGGGCTCTGGGCAGCTGTAGAAGGTGGCTGGAAGACTGCAAACAGTTGTGCCAGGCTCCGCAGCCCAGCACCAGCTCCATGGTGGCGACAGCTGCACACGTGCCTCTGGGCAGATGGTGGGAGAGGAGCCAGGGTTGTGCTGCCCCAGGCCCCTTCCTGGCCATGTGTCCAGAGGTCCACGTACAACTGCTGCAGCCACTGAACAGGTGCAGGGGCTGCAGAGCCCCATGCAGTTGTCTGCAGGCTCCTAGCTGCAGCCGGCTCAGGCTCTGGACAGCTGCTGGCAAAAGCTGCCCAGAGCCCAAGTTGGCTGTGGAGTGCTGAGGAAAATGGCTGCAAGTGCCAAGCTTTGGCATGCATGCTGGGGGTTGCTGAACCCTACTGTATCCATTTGCACTGAGTGACCCAAGAGTAAAGGTTAGCACTGTGCGAGCTTTGGAAAGGTGAAAGCAAAGGCAGAGAGGAAAAATGGAGAAAGAAGGAAGGGATATGTTTTATTTTGGATATCCCAGAAAGTTGCCCTTAACAGTCCATAGGTTTGTTCTCTACTAACAACTGGTAGACAGCTGTTGAATTGCTCTCTCAGTTTCCTTTTTAATCAGTCTTCTTAATTTTTTTAGTCTGAATGCATAGTATTTTGTTGCCTTCTTAGCCAGCAGTTTCTCTATCATGCTATGAGCGGAGACTAGAAACATTCAGTCAGGAAAACAACCTTCCAGATTCCTTCGGTCTTGTCAAGGCATCTAATGATGCTTTTAAGGGAGTAATGTTCCCTGCGTGCATCCCCAGAGAAGACAACGGAGGGCTGGTGATTCTCCTGCAAGGGAGTACCATCCCTCACTAAGGGATGATCATTCCTCTCCTTGAAGCGGGGACTCTCAGACATGTTAAGGTCACCAGAGCTCATGAGTTCCCCTTTGTTTTCATCCTTAGACTCCGAGTCAGCGTCCTGTTCGGAAACTGGTGGGTGTGAGAGAGAGAGAGTGCACAAGAGAGAGAGCTCCATGACTGTGAAGAGTCCTGAGACTGTAACAAACTTTGGTGGCTGAGCGAGCTCAGGAGATGGCAGGAACTAAATTAAAGAGTCTAAAGACAGAAGTGGCCTAGCAAGCTTGACAAGAACATGACCAGCCAGAAAACTTAACATTAAACTACTGGGCTGAGACTCAGTGAAGAGGACCCCTACCTCAAGACTGTTCCATCCTCTGACCTGTGGATAAGATTTGCAATGTCTAACTATTTAAGCTTTAATGGACTAGAACTGGGCAGGGGACTTTAGACTCTCATGGGCACATTCAGAGGAGCATGCATGTCTGGTCTGTGGCACTGCAAACCACATGCACCACACATGTAGGCATCCACCATGCTGCTAATTTGCCCCAGGAAAAAGTGGGGTGGCGCATGTGGTAGCTTTTTCCCCCACAACAACTGCAGGGCTCTGCTCATGGGGATGCGGCCCATGAGCCCAGTAAAATGAGATACAGAATTGTGAATAACTTTGCCACTATCGACCCCAAGAAAGTAAACCCAGAGACCTGACACCCCAACCATAGCTGGCAGCAAAAAATACTAAAAATAGCTACACAGGTTCCAGGTAGCAGATCAAAATCCATGGGCAACTAGCCACGGTAAAGGGAACTAATTTGACACTATGATATTGCTGCATGATGATAAAGTCATCAAAGTTAAGTTACTCATGTAATAATCAATATAATGATTCCATTTGTCATGTATACAGGTCACATCTATAATGTCCAATCACATGTCTTTGAATGGTTTGTTAATGGACTGTATTGTTTTGCTATTGATTTTCTTTTTTTCTTTGTAACTAAATGCATGTAAGGTATAAACATGACAGTAGCCATTATATTCACAGGATACTGGCTCATGGCCTATGTCGCCATCACTGTTATCACTGAGAAAATATAGTTTTTTAAGACAGTACAGCAACTGAGACTGAAACTCCATTATACTGGGTTCTGTACAAACACCAAAGAGAGATAATTCATGCCCTATTTATCAGAAAAATATTGCAATCCCATCAGGTTATTGGGACAAGGAAATTAATTCCAGTCTCTTCCTTGTACTCCTGCACATCATACATTATACATAGTACACCTTTGCTAATAGAAACAGTCAGATAACTGAGGGAGGGTGACTGTACAAGAATAGTTGCCACCAGAGCGGGTGGCTGGCTGTGCCACCATTGTCTCCAGCATTGCCACCAGTGCCCCATGTACTATCATTGCTCTGTTACATCTCTGAGTAGAAGCCATGCAGAAGTGTGAAAACTGCAGCAAATAAAGCAACAGCAAACTTGAAGATAATGCAATCTCTTATAGTATATTATTTCTTAAGTGAAAACACGCACAACTACTTTTATACCAGCAAATAAAGTTTACATCAGTGGTTCTCAAATAGGGATGCCACAAGATCATTTTGAGGGTGCTGCAGGGTACGAAGAGATAAGCACTTGCTCCTCTCCACTTGGCCTCTTTGTAAGGCAGTAAGCACAGGCTCTTTTTCTGCCTGGTTCCAGTGCAAAGAGGGATGATCACACTTGTCCCTGCCAGCTCCTGTATGAGTTCATACAATCATAGAGAAATAAAGCTGGAAGGGGCCTCCAACGGTCATTTCATCCAAACCCCTGCTCCCTGAGGCATGATCATCTCTATCTAAATCATCCCATACAAACAATAATTTAAACTCTAAATACAAGTTAAATTCTACAAAAGAGTTAAATGCTTCCTCTTCCCCTCCACATGAGGAGCTAAGCACAGGCTCTTCTGTGCCCAACTTCAGTGCAAGGAGGTAACCTCATGATCATCCCTACCCTACCACTCTGAGAAGAGCTCACTCCTGCCCTCAACCCCTGCAGCCCTATACCAAATGTCGAGAACCCCTGGTTTAATACATAAGGATCACAAACCAATTTTAATTGCCTAGGATAAACATCATCTTAAAGGATTTCTCACTTTTTAACCATCAATTATTTTAGTCTGTAACCATGGCTTAATTCTGCACCATAAACTAGGAAATATTTTACCAATGATCTAGAAGTATCCTTCTATTTTCATTTTTTTTAAACTGGAATAAATGGTTTGCAAGCCTGTTCTCTACTACTGGATTCATTACCTTCTCTCAATAAATTCCCACATGAAAATGTAATAAACTGCAGTTACAGTTCAGGGTAAAAACAGTGTAAGGACTTATTTGGGAGATAATTACAAACTCTGGAAATTCTGGAAATGCACCCAAACAAACTTAACTGTGCCTGTGAGCTATGTCATATAATAGCTATTTATTATTAATCCATAAATATTTATTACCCCTATTTTTAAAAAATGATTTATGCAAGTTTCATCTTTCTTCTTGTCACTGCAAGATGAAGCTAAGGTGGCAGAATAACAATGTGTAAAATCATGCTATACTATACCTCAGGCTTCAGATCTCTATGGACTACTCCCACATCATGCATGTGACTCACAGCTGAAACAAGTTTGCGCATAATATAACTGGCTTCTGTCTCACTGAAGTGCTTCTTTTTTTGAATACGTTCAAGCAATTCTCCCCCTTTCAGCAGTTCCATTACTAGAAATGTGTGAACCTAGAAAACAAACAAATACAATCTATGTGGAGTCCTAGAAAATGTAGATTGTATAGTAAGAGCGAGGAATTTAAATACTGTCAGCATTATAAAACATGAGACACAATTGTTTTAGGAAAAAAACAAGCAAACCCTTAAAACAAATAGGTGGAAAAACATAGTTTTTAAAAATTGTGAGACTAATTTCTTTTGTGTAGCACAAAATAAAGAATTAGAATGCATTCATCTTCCAGCAGTCAGGTAGTAGTGCAGTACAGTCTCCCTTTCCAAAGGTTAAGATGAATAAAGTTGCCCAATAAAATATTGTTTCATGAGTACAGAAATAAGGGCCAAAACTTACTCTACAATGCCATTTCTGTGTTAGGCTGCCAAGGACCTCAACAGAAATTAAACATGTACATCAAAAGGTAGAATCTGATGAGAGATGAAGGTTACGTACCTCCATGTATAGGTCCTTTTTCTCTTTTTGCAATGGATGAAGAATTAGTCACAGAGTTCAAATTAATAGCAGAAAAAAGTTAGTAACTCCTTGCTTAGCCTCCAGAAAGTTTATTTTTCAAATCTTTAATTATCCACAATTGCTTTACATGCTATTTCCCACATTTAAGTATAAATGTTGCTACACCAACCATAACACGCATGATTACTCTCAAACACGCAACCTTAATTCCATCTTCAGTAAGATTAATAATAACTATCCTAAAAGCTGGTTTTACTTGAAAAGTTTTATTTTTACCTTTAAACATTCTGAATTTGAAGACAAGATTATATGCTTCAGTGTTATTGCAATGCATTTTTTTAGGACTATTCTTTTTATAACCTGTTAACTGTTAGCAGGTGGTAGATGGAATATGGGAGAAGAGGGAGAGGTAGCATTAAGAGATATTGAGGGAGTGAGTCATTCTGAATTAGCCTACTAGGTACATCTCTGTCGGGAAGAAGAAAGGATAATGGAAGTTTGTGAGTGAGGGAAACTTTCAAGGAGGCTGAAGTGGTCATGGGGGTAGGCCAGAACAATGAATTGTGGATGTAAGGAAGAAAGATTTGTGGGAGGCAGCATGTAGGTGGGGATTTGTACTACTGTGGAAATGCAAGGACAAGAAAAGCAGAGCTGTGAAGTAAAAGAGTTAAAAAGTACAGTAGAAAAAATACAAGTTTTGCAGGGAAATAGTGAAGGGGTAAGACAATGAAGGCTGAGATCAGGATTTCCTTGTGCTGACAGGGTACAATGCAGATACTCTAGATACCTTAAACAGAGACGTCTTACCAAACAGAAAATTTCCTTAGACCAGAAACCTGTCCTTTTAATGTAGAAGTTCCCCAGAACAAGGGAGTTTAATCCCCTGTAAGGAAGTAAAGGGCTTGGAGTTATGAAGGGCAGAAGCAGGAATGGTGTGCAGTACTGGAAAGAGCACAGTAATAGAGATGTATAGGGATACTGTTCAGCATAGAGCAGCTATCTAGAGAAGCTCACTAGTAATACTGTTACCACTGCTTTTCAGGTCACTTTTTATACCTTTAGCTATGAAAGCACTGGAAGAGTTAAGCAGAGTTCACCTTGGTAAACTGTGATTTACTAGAAATGAGTCAGAGCCTGACAAATGTTAGCTGGTTTGCATTCCCAAAAAAGATCTGTAACTAGAGCTAATAAAAAATAACTATGTTTATAACAAAATAAAAGAATAACATCTTGATTTTTAAATATTCAAAAAATTATGATCAGTGTGCAGAAGCCTGAAGAGGTATATAGAGGGGGAAAGGGTTGTATGGAGAAAGGAAAGGGAGACTTCATAGTAGGTTCTTTTCACTGTAGTTTCCAGGGAGATCAGGGAGGCACAGCTAGCTTCCTGCAGCCACCATGGTCATTTCATACAAGTAATGTTTAGATAAAGTGGATGACTGAAAAATCCACAACTAAACACATTGCAAGACTTCTCAGAATAGCAAAGTTAATTAAAATTTCATGATTTAGGACTTCAGTAAAAATAGCTTTAGGAATTAATATCTTGCACCTATATCAATCTTCTAATTCAATTATTCAAGGTGCTTTATAAATATTATTTAAGCTTCATGTCACTTGTAAAGATAAAATAGGCATCTTAGGCCTTTGACACGTTATTTCTGTAGTACTTAAAATTGGTATTTTATATGGTTCCTTAGTTCCTCCCATCCCCAGGACAACCGTTCAGCGACTGAGGCAGGCTTACTGACAGGTTCCAATCAGTTGTTGACAATGTCGCAAGAGCTGATGGGGCTGTCCACAAGCTACCCATGGAGGCAAGGGCTGACTGGGCAATCTCTGCTACCTGGTTGGCCCTTCCTACCACTGTTGCAATTGCAACGGGGCTGCCCTCGAGGTACCCAGAGTGGCGGGGGCTCACTGGGTGGTCTCCACTGCTTGCACTCCATAAGCAATGACAGTGCTTATACACTGATAGAATCTGCTTCTATAGATGAACAGTAATACTTTCATAAGATTAATGCTATGCACAGAAAAGTATGTTTGAAAAATGCTGATAATAATTACCTGATCATGAAAAACTTCATGCAACTTCACTACATTGGGATGTCCTTCACAGAGCTTCAAAGCAGTTATTTCTCTCTGGGTGTTTGCTTCCATTCTGGAAAATCAATTAATCAGTTTGTACCCAATAAGTAAGCATACTTCAGAGTCAAAATTGTTATGCCTATTAATTTTTTTAAAACTTCTTCCTAATCCAGATTTTGGACTATTACAACAAGATTCACTTTGATATACACACTTGGAAATCAAAGCCAAAATCTTGGAAGCCCCAAAAGCAAGCAGAACAGAAATGAGTCTCTCAACAAGCTCTGCAGGATGGGGCATACAGTAACAAATTTGTGTTTCTTGGTAAAGCAGAAATGGGAATTGAATCTACAATAGTCTCTTGTCTAGGGTACATCCAGGGGGGCCAGCGAGAATTGGGGGAGGCTCTGTTCCCCTGGGCACCACCCGGGATTACTGGGAATAACGGCCACAAATTGTTAGAGAGGTTCAGGCTGGACATCAGAAGACATTACTTTACAGTTAGGGCTGCCAGGCTCTAGAATGGGTTCCCAAGTGAGGTGGTGCTCTCTTCTACTTTGGGGGTCTTCAAGAGGAGGCTGGACAGATATTTGGCTGGGGTGATATGACCGCGGCACCCGTTCCTGCCTGGGGCAGGGGGTCGGACCTGATGATCTGTTTAGGTCCCTTCCGACCCTAAGCACTATGATACTATGAAATAGCTCTGCCTTAAGTTAAGCACCTCTTTTTCTACAAGTGAGTAGGCAGTTCAGATTCCTTCAGAAGGCTTGAAGGATTGGCCTTAATCATTCCACCCTTATCCTAGATGAATACTTCTAAGCTATATGGAAACTCCAAAACCGTCTAACTTAGTAGTCAATAATGTAATTGAATGTTGCCTATAGATCTTCAGAAGTAAATCCCTATATTTTAAACAAATATTTTTTTATTTGTAATCCTTAATCTAATCTGTAAATTGTAAGCAAGTAAATAATGTTTTTATTATCTTAGAGACTATTTATACCTTTTACTAATTATTTTTACTGCATATTCTTGGCTAGTTTTCTTGTGTAAGCACCTTCGACAGATGGAAAAACTTCCTTCTCCCAATGGTTTCTCTTTCAGATCCAGTTCATAATGATGATAAAATGGAGAGTCCTGTCAGGAAACTGACCATATTTAGTTCTGTGGAATACTTCCAGTATAATGAGTCAAGACAAAGAATAAACTATTCAATCTGCATTTATAGTTCCAAAAATACAGTTAAAAGATCTAATTTTGAAAAACAATACAATATAAATAGAGGTGGTCTGATAATGTTATGAAACAATATGCACAAATGTTATTTAAACACTGTAAAGATGAATTATAAGATACTTTAAAAAATATTGAATAAACTATTATTATCAGAATATCTTCAACTACAAAAACATTATGGGAAAAGTCCAGAGTTGATTTCTACATGCTGATCCCAAAAACAGTAAGTTTATTTGAAGACACGACAATAACATGTAGTTTCATAAGGATTTACATGATATGCAAATCTGGGTTGTTATATTAAATCAGATCCCCTTCTATAATAACTATTGCAGCTTTGAGACTGTTTACTTGCCCAGGTGAATTCTATTTTTGTCAAATGAAAAAAGTATTGTTATTTTCACTGTCCTTCTGGAAAGAAAGGAAAATTGGATCCCATGTTGCTGCTGTTATGTTTTTTAATTATGGCTTTTCAAGTCTAGACTCCAGTTACGTCTTAACTATGGCATATTGGCATATGTTAACTTTAAGTGCGGATTGAGTGCTATTGACTCTTCAGCCAAAGAACAGATAACTGAACAATGATTATACGCTCAATGATAATTAGCATCTCAGCCTTCAGCCTCCAAATTTATAGCCAAAGTCAAGAAATCTCAACTGGAAGGTACTCATGCCTTAAAAACATATCCAAGGAAGCTAAGTTTTTGATATTATCATTACCTTCATCATAGCACTTCTAGCAATAGTTGTAATGCCAGGTCGTTCATCTTCCATATGAAACTGAATAGGATTTACTATAGCCGCGTTGCGTTTAAACAAAATAGAAGGAGCAACAAAAGAATAACCCTACAGAACAAAGACAGAAGATAAATGTAAAGCTTGAAGTTGTGTGCATAAGATTGCACAGACAATATAACAAGTTTTAGTCATAATCTTAAGGATTAGAATACACCTAATATAAAGAAAATCTACAAAATATGGGTAAATGCCACTGAATTTAAGGTTAAAATGCACCTTCATTTCAACATAAAGGCCTTAGAAGAGGTTAAATCATATTCTGGTTGAAAAATCATTCAATTAAAAATTATGGGAATGCAGAAAAGTGCTCGATTTCACAGCTCCAATTGTTTTCCATTGGTGACACTCTAAAATTGTCTAGTTTCTCAAGATAACTAAATATCAAACACGTTTAAATTATGATGGGACAAGGGAATTAATCATTTTAATTGGCAAAACAAAAATAATGCATTGTTTAATTAAGTTGGCTGCAACCAATACCTTTTGTGCATTTTTACCTATAAATGTTAACAATACAAATATAAATGTACAATATAAATATTTATTTTGGGCATGATTTTTGCAGCATTAAGAAATATTATAATGTCAATATGGGTTTAGTGGAAATATATCCAAACAAGTTGGATTTCTATCAAGTGGCAGAAGGTTTGAAATGCATAAGCATAGAAAAAGGGTTGAAATAGTTTCATACCATGTCATGAACAGACAAGGGTAATTACCAATATATTCAGTTGGCCAAACCGTGGTAGGCCAAGTAACAAACTATATCCGATTAAAGAAAATCTAATTTCCACATGTTTGTTTGATTAATATTTATTCTTAAATATGCTTACTTGGAAAACGAAAATTATTTAGTCTCAGATGAATTACTCAGATATAATATCCTATTTTTACTTTTCCCTGAGAGAATTACATGCTACAAATTGTATTATCTTTTTGTTATATATCCTTTATAAAACCACCACTTAATTTATATCTTTAATATTACCATAAGTCTGTGGCCAAGAACAATAATTAAACAATTTTTCAAAAAGTATCTAAGGCCCCTGACAGACGTTCACTTAAAGGCTTTATGGGATCTGATCTGAGAACTCAACAATGGCAAATGAAATGGCAAATGCCACACATACATGGCAGGGTGTGTGATTTTGGGATTGGGGATTAGACTCCAACTGCACCTTACTTGCCAGTGTAGGATCATGATTGCAGGCTCCCCATGCACCAGCCCACAATCAGCTGACTATCAGCTGGGGTCAGGGATTAAACCAGGGTCTGGAATCAGCCCTAGACCAGTCCCTGGCCCCAAGTAAATAGTTGTCAAAACCCCAGCTGGGGGAGCACACACTATTTCTACTAATCTCCAGGCATGGGGACCCTGTGTATGGACTGCCCCAGCATGTCCCCTTGGCCCCCATGACCATGGATGTATAAAAATGGCATATTGCCCCTTGCTGGGTGGCAAGCATGGTTTCTGAAGATCCCGTGTCCAGGGATGAATAAAAAACCACGTGTGCCACCCAGCTGGGTGGCACACGTGGTTTTTACGTGTCTTGGAATATAGGGCAGCTGCCCCCAATCCTACGGTCCTGTCATGCAAGCACCTTTAAAAACCTTGTGTGCAGCTGGGCTGTAAATGTGGTTTTCTGTCATCCCTGATGCACGGGGATCTCAGGATCAGGGAAAAGATCCAGGGGATTTTAGAAAAACAACTGTATGCAGCCCAGCTGCACACATGGTTTTTAAAGGTCTAGGGTGCAGTGAGCCCAGGATTGGGGAGATGCGTTCTGATTCAGGCTCACTGAGACCCCCCATCTGCCTCTGGAGGTTGGGTGGAGGTCTGGGGTCCATGGACTAGTTCTGCTCCCAAGGCCAATTTGGTAGGTGACAGCTGTATCCCAGACCCTGGGGCTATCCCGGGTCCTGAAACTCAGCTGAGTGTTGGGATCTGTCATGGCCCAGCCCCAACCAGCCACATGTTCAATTTATGGCATGACAGAAATGAGCCACAAAATCATTACACATTTTGTGAAATAACTTTGTGACTTGTTTACTGGATTATCATGCCTTAAATTGACTTGAACATGTGGCTAGGTTACTATTTAAGGAGTGATTAACCTTAAATTTAATGTGTGTCAGGAGCCTAAAATCTCATTAACCTTCAGTGAGATTTAAAATTACAAAGTCATTTTGAAATTATTTTTCAAGCTCTTACCCATCCAGAAATATTATAGGAGCCTAAAGCATTAAATACAGGAAGATTTTCAGATGCAGGAAGTGCAATAAGAAACTTTTCTGAACATGTTTGATGTTACTTTTTCTTGTGGAAGTGCCTGAGGGGTCAAGGAGCAAAAATCTGCAAAGCTTTGGCTCTTATTTCTCTCTCCTAATGTGGATCACTGCATCCATCAAGTTTTACAGGAAGCTAGGTATAGAGATTTAGTATAACAAACACAGCTAGACTTTCCCTCCTCTCTGTTCCCTCCAACACCACAGAAAGGGTAAAGCCAAATACAGAGTATAGCTACAGTGCAATAATTCTCCAGAACAAATCCCAATTACTATTAAGACTAGTTAGTGCACATGAACAATCAGACCAACTGCAAAACTAACTGCAATTGTCTAATTCATTGCAGTTGTCTAATTCATTTGCTTTTAGTATTATGTTTCCTTTATAATAGATATGATTCTGTTCCACTGAAGTCAATGCAATCTGACACCTAAAAACAGAATTAAGCTCCAAATAGTACCAGCCAAATTTAATTTTTCATTTGTAACAAAGTGATTAAGTAAAAAAACATATATTATGTAGCAATGTGGGCCACACTATCTATTTAATAATTACTATTTAACAGTAAGCAAATAAATAATATTATTTAATAAATTATCTATAATTTATTAATTAATATTTGCATCAGCTAACTATTTTTATGCTGAGGAAAGAAAACTAAATAAAAGTAAAATCACAATATTTGTAATGGTTAAAACTACATACAAATTTAAATTCTAACTTTACAGCAGGCATGATTTGATGATACATATGGAAATAGTAAAATGTATTTTTAAATTATTGTAGTATTTTACAGTTACCTGAAATAATTTTTCTGAAGTCTGTGGCGTGGCTGCAGGAGAATATGTGGGATCCATGTCTGTAAACTCTTCTGCAAAGTTACTAACATCCAATTCATCCCGAATTACTGGTTTAAATGGGGCTGGTACTTTTTTGGCAGCTAAATCAGACCAGTTTATGTTCTAAATCAGAAATTGAAAACAATCAAAATATAAATTAAAATAAACCTGCTGAAAGGAGATACTTATTCTAGATTTTTTAAGTCTATTCAGTGACTATGGCTGTTAAAAACAAATGTTTAAGCTATGTCCTTTTGTACATTTCTCATGCAAGAGGCAAGAACCAAACAGCATTTGTGCGCAGCTGTATGACCAATACTATAAAAAAAACCCTCCAAGTTTGTATGATGAGGATGAACACCTAATCTAGAATGGGGATTCATCTGAACCAGTGGGGGCATACCACAAATTAAGCCCTGCCCAATCTGCTGCCCTGCTCTCTGTTCCTTACTGTAAGCTCCCCACTGGGTCTGCTGCTCTGGTTTACTTCTTGAGATCCATGTGTTAGGAAGGGAAATGCAGAGGATTTCCATGAGAAAGTCAGCCGTAAATGGAGCACTGTCATCTATGCAGCAATACTTACATACCTTATCCTACACTAAAGAATACTGATTGAGGGTGCTCCGAGATCAAAGATTAGATAGATTTGTTAGTGGAACACAGTAAAGATTCTGCTTTCCTCTCATGCGAAAGTTCAGGTCAAAATTAAGTATGGAGGTTGTAAACACTCCATAACAAAATAACTATTGTGATTTCTTACATATTTAAAACTAATAAACTAGCATGGAAATGGATGGCAAGAGTCAACCCTCTCAACTAGCTTGAGTCACATAAACTGCACAACCCTTTCTATGTCTTATCTTCTAGTCCAAACCAAACCCAACCACACTGAGCTTCCTGTTTGTTGAGCAAAACCCTTTCAAGAAAAAAGCATGTTGATTATTTGTCTCTCTTCCTCTAATTTAGACAAAAGATACCCAAGTAAGGTGTAGAAAGATTTCTGCTGGCAGATTTCTTATACTTTTAGTGCCTGTGTGACTTCCAAACACATTGCAGGGAGAATTGAGCTGGGATGTAGGCTTGACCTCACACCATGTCAATCAGAAAAACTTTTGAGAACTGACTGGATTGCTGCTAAGGGTTAGTTTTAATGGATTTCACCACAGAGTAGACTACTGGTGGGCTCCAGAGACTAGTAATTTCCTAAATTCTTTAAGACTGGGACCCTTCTATTTTAATACAGCATGGGTGCATCTACATGTGCACTTTACTGCAGAGCTGACTAATTAGCTCCACAGTAAAGCATCACTGTCTACATGTGCGTTGGTATTAAGACACAGTAAATTAATTAACTCCGCCATAAGATAGTACTGTTGGGAACAGTTCTGTTTGACAGCAGAGAGTTACGTGTGACAAAATGCACGTGTAGATGGTGACAGGGGCTGGCTGGGGCACGAGGGTGCTGAAGTGCAGGGGGTTGTCTGCCACATGGCTCCTCACTTTAGCACACTCATGCCCCAGCCAGCCCCTCCATTGCCCAATGCTGCCACCTAGAGTCTGGGCCTGACCCCCACAAGCCTACTGCCAGGCGAAGCTGCTCCGATCCAACTGCTGCTGTCCCAGGTGCATGTGTAGATGCTGTGCCTGAGAGCAGCCAACTCCAGCTTGAATTGCTCCAGAGTTTATTGTGTCACATTAATTTCATGTCTAGATGCACCCTGTATACCTTAAAAGGGTACTGGATCTTGATTAAAAAAATAAAGCCCATGGGTCAGTGTCATTCAGCCTGCGGGGCTCCTGGAGAGGCTACAAATTTGGGGGTAGGGTGACCAGGAACAGACCCCACCACAGAATTCCAGGGTACTGAATTTTAAATATCTCCCCAAAACTAATCTACGTTATTAGTCCCTTATTTTATAAGCACTATAATTCACTGCAACTTAAGCACAATATTTCATTTTTAAAAGATTATTTGCCATCTCAGCTTTGGTTTAAAATTGACATTTCCAAAAATAAACTTCTTAGCAGTAACTAAAAATAAAAGGAATGTTTTGAAGTTTATGAATTTTTTTACTGCCAATGGAAAAAACACTGCACAGCTGTTCTTAAACAAAAACACTCATTCCCCTTCAGTGTCTAAAATCCAAATATTAATACATAAAAAAAATCTGAAATAAAACAAATAAATACATCTGAAATAAGTACATTAATTCAGTTTCAGTTTGATTATCCAAACTAAGGAAAAGTGAAAAAGAAACTAAGAGGTTTATGGTAAAAAGCAAAATGTTTTTCTTAACAGTATCTAATTTAAGTATGATATTAGTAGCAAAGAGATCAGATTTTATACAGTATGTAGTTTAAGACAGGCTATCCAACTTCTGAATGGTGGTGAGGGCCACAGATCCTGTAGGCCACAGACTCCTAAGCCACATGCAGCAGGGGCCAGACACTGTAGGAACAGGGACTCCTGGAGTTCCTGCTGCCGCACAGACAGCCTGTCCCCCTTCTCCCCACACATGTAGCCCAGACAGCCCAGCTCTTCTCCCAGATGCACAGGCAGCTGGGACAGTGATGTATGCAGCCCAGACAGCCTGGTTTACTTTCTCCTTCACTATTTTGTATTTTGTAAATCATTGTCCCCCCACTCAGGTGCCTCTCTTCTAAACTGAATATGCTTAGCTCAAGGGCAGGCAAAATACAGCCCATGGGCTGGATCTGGCCCACCAGCCAGTTTGATCTGGCCTGCAGCGCCAACCAACCAACTGTACCCCACCCAGCTCTTCCGCCCACAAGGGTAGAACTGAGGCACCCATGTATACACACGACCCCCAATATACCATATTGCGCCTCGCTCCCACCCCCATGGGCAGAAGGGCCCAGCCCACCCAGCAGGCAGCTTCCAGGCGAGATTGCTGCTGCCGCCGCTGCTACAGCTGCCAGGGACCTAATTGGCTTCCCTGGCACCCCACTTGCACCAGGCAGCAGGTAGTTGGGGGCAGTTGGTGGAGCTGCAGCTGGGTGGGATTGCAGAGCAAGGGGCCTGGGTTGGCAGCAGCGCGGAGTCCATAGCCAGGGGGTCGGTGGCAGCATGGAGCTTAGGTAGGCAGGGTGTGGGGACCCCCCTACACTCCCTCCATGGCGTCCAGTGGTGGTAAAATAGGTTATAGTAGGTGTTTGACTTATAGTGTATACTTTGGGTTTTTTCTGGTTCTAAGATGGCAACCCCCATTCCCAAAAGGGGTATTTTCAGGGGGCAAGGGGAGGGACGTCCAGTGGCAAAGGTCAAAAATTAGGGGTGGGAATTCCAGTTCCAAGATAGCAACCAGGGGGTGGAGCTACCCATGCAGCCCTCAAAAGCTCCCTAAACCTCATTAAGTGGCTCTCCACCCAAAATAATTGCCCACCCCTGGCCTAGCTTCTTTAGTCTCTTATATGGAAGGAAGCCCCTCTACACCACTAATCATCCTTGTTGCCCTTCTCTGTACCTTCTCTGTTTCTATATCCTTTTAGATATGTGAGGACCCAAAACTGGCCAAAGTATGCAAGATGTGACTACACCATAGATTTATAAAGGAGCATAATGAAACTCTGTTTAGTTTACAGTTCCCTTCCTAATCATCTCTAACACTGTTTGCCTTTTTGACATCTGCTGAGCAGAGCTGATTTTTTTTTTTTTTTTTTTTTTTTTTAAGAGAACTGTCCACAATGACTCCCAGATCCCTTGCCTTTGTGGTAACAGCTAATGTAAAGCCCATAATAGTGTAGGTATAGTTTGAGTTACTTTTGCCCACATATATCACTTTACACTTCTCTATACTCTATATTTCATCTGCTAGTCAGTTGCCCATATACTTAATAGTGCCAGATCCTTCTGTGGTTCCTGGCAGTCCACCTAGGTCTTTACCATTTCGAATAATTTTTTGTTATCTGCAAATCTGGCCTCTTCGCTACTCACTTCCTTTTCCAGATCATTTATGAATATGTTAAACAGCACTGTTCCCTGGAGGACCCCGATGTTTACATCTTTCCAGCCCAAAAACTAACCATTTATACTCACTTTTTGTTTTCTATCAATAAACCAATTTCTAATCCACAAATGGACTTTCCTTGTAATCCCATGACAATCTAACTTCATTAAGAGCCTGGTCAAAGGCTTTTTTGGAAGTCTAGATATACTATCTCAACTGGAACACCCTGATCTACTTGCTTATTAACACCCTCAAAGAACTCAAGTAGATTAGTGAGGCATGATTTCCATTTGAGAAAACCATGCTGATTCCTTCCCAGAAAGTCATGTTCATCCATGTACTAAACAATTTTTCAAATTGTTTTTACCAGTTTTCTAGGAACAGAAGTTAGACATGGGGATTCGGATTCGGCCAACCAGGCCATTCTATATGGCCCACGGGGCACCTACAAAGTTTAGAAAATTAATATTTATCTGCTCCACACTCCCTGTCAAAGATGACAGGAGCCAGGGGCAGTAGGACCCAGGGAAAGCTGGCAGCAGTCAAAAGAAAGGCCAGCTCAGTCTGGCCCCACTCCCAGCCCCCTCCCACCCCCAACCAGAAGTGTCTGCCTGCGGCAGCTTTTGTGTGTGTGTGTGTGTGTCTATAATGAGGCAAGCACAGTGTGTGTGTTTGTAAAGTGAGTCCCACGAGTATCCCCACCATACACATGCATCCATATCCTGCACTTGCATCGCCATACACACAGACCCCAGAGCCATACCCTTACACAGCCCAGGCACCCTCCCCCGACACACAGTCCCCCACAGACTGCACATCCACCCACACCCCACATATCCACACACACCCACATGCTCCCACAGCTCCCCACAAACCTATACCCACCCCCATGCCCCCCACAAACCCACAGTTTACAAGAGTAAGATTTCATTTAAGCTATTGTGTGCTCACCTCTATGTACACTACACAAACACATGTAAATCAAGACAAAAAGATTTTTTGAAATCAAATTAATGAATGTTGTAGATGTTTGATTTTTAGAATACAATTTGGTATTTTTCTGGTTCTGAGATAGCAAAATCCCTTGCAGAATGGAGTACTGCCAGGGGCAAGGGGAGGGACTTCTGGTAGGAAAGGTCAGGGGTTAGGAGGTGGGACTTCCTGTCCCAAGATGGCAACCAGGTTGCGGGGCTATCTAATGCAGCCCTCAACAGCTTGCTGAAACTCAGTAAGTGGCCCTCCACCTGAAATAATTGCCCACCCCTGAGTTAGCCTCACTGTTAGCCTCACCGAGTTAGCCTCACTGTGGTTCCTTGTGTCACCTATAGAGCCTCTTTAAAATATGGGAGTCTCGCTGGCAATCTTCCAGTCTTCTAGTACCAAGACTACTTTTAGTGATAGGCTGCATACTACAGTTAGGAGTTCATCAGTTTGCAGTCACAGCTCCTTCAGGATCCTAGGGTGAATGCCATTAGGTCTTGGTTATTTGCTTCTGTTTCATTTATTAATTTCCTCTATGACCTGATCTACTGAAACTTCAAGCTGGGTCTGCTCCTCTCTTATCCCTAGAGAGGAGTGGATCTGGTGAGGAAATCTCCCTAACATCTACCACAGTGAAGACAGATGCAAAGAATGCATTTAGTTTCTTGGCAATACCCCTGCCATCCTTTACTGCCCCCTTTATACCCATATCATCCAAATACCAAAAGGACTCCATGGCAGGTCTTCATGTGAGGGTTTGCCAGGATGTAGGCACTGGGCCTGTGGGCAGGCCATGAAGTAATTAGGGGGTCAGCAAGGTAGAAGCGCAGATTACCAGAGCATCAGGCTGGGGTTTAGGTCAGAAGGCTGAGGACATGGGACCAAGTCCCAGAATGACCGAGGGGCAAAATCCAAGAGGCATAATCCAATAAACAGGCTAAAATCAGAACCCATGGGTCAAAGAGCCAGTGCATAGTTCCAGGGGATAGCCAAGGCCAGAGTCAGAAAGAACCAAAATTGAGTCAGGAGCCAGGAGAATCAGAAGGAACAGTGGAAATGAGACTTGCCAGGACAGACCGGGGCTGTGTCAAGGTATGACTGCAGCCTGAGAATCAGGTGTGCTTAAAAAGAGTGAGCAACCCTTTCAGCAGCCAATCTGGTTGCTCACCTCCACAGAAAACTAAGGCAATCTCATTAGCCACAAATCAGGGGTAGATGTGATGGTTCAAGTGTGCTTGGTCCAGCCAGGCATGATTGATCAGAGACCCTGACTCTTTGGCTTCTAATGTAATTTAAAAAAAATTTTGTTACCTTTGATGTCTCTAGCAAATTTCTCCTCAAATTCTCTCTTAGCTTGTCTTACTAAGATTTTATATTTGATTTGCCAGAGTTTGTGCTCTTTTTTATTTTCCTTATTAGGATTTGTCTTCCATTTTTTTAAAGAAAACTTTTTTTTGTTTATTGCCTCTGCAACTTTGCCAATAAGCCATGCTGCCTTTCTTTTGGTCCACTTTCCATTTTTTTTTATTTGCAGTATACATTTGCCCTGTGTCTCCAATAAGGCGTTCTTAAGCATTTCCCATGATGCTTGCAAATTCTTCACCTCCTTAGGGCCCCTTTTTACTTCTAGCTAGCTCCCTCATTTTGGTAGAGTTTCCGTTTTTAAAATGTCTACTGTAGTAGATTTTCTTATCTCCCTTCCTACATGGATGTCAAGCACAATTGCATTGTGGTCAGTATATTGCAAAGCAGCTCAGTAACACTTATCCTTTCCACTAAATCCTACGCGCTACTTAGGACTAGGTCAAGAATGGCCTTTTCTCTTGTAGGTTCCAGGACTAATTGCTCCAGAAAGCAATCTTTTATAATGTCAAGAAATTTGCTTTCTGCATCCCAGCCTGACGTTAGATTGACCCAGTCTATGTCTAGATAAAGTTGCCCATTATTACTGTTTTCTGCTTTCACAGTCTCTCTCACCTCTCCCTGCACTTTTAGCTTGCTGCTACTGTCCTGGTCTGGGAGTCGATAGTATATCCCCAGCTGTACTTTTCTTCTATTGAAAAATGTTTTCTATTGAAACACAGAATTTCTGTCCACAGAGATTCAATGGTACCTATCTTATCAGTAGAAAAATCTATCCTATTTGATTTAATGCAGTCTCTGACAGAGTGCCACTTCCCAGCAGTATGACCTACATAAGTAGGTACATGAGCATGTGCATAGAACTTAAGTACATGAGCAGCACTACTCACACATTTAACATTATATACTTGCTAAGCCATCTTGCTAAATCAAGCTCATGATGCAAAAAGATGGAGACTGATTAAACTAAGAAAAAAAACAGAAGATAGCTTTTCCTTTTTACCTGAAAGAAGGCATGTTGTTTGATTTCATCAGCATCACTTGGACCACAGCCCAACCTTTTCTTAGGATCTTTCATCAAAAGACACTGAATCAAATCTTTAGCTAAAGCACTCATCTCTTGGGGATATGGAGGTTCACTTTTTAATATTCTCCTGTAGAAAAATATGATTTATTAACTACTTAACATTTTGGCATTAACTACTTAACAAACTACATTTAGTATTAACTACTTAACGAACACAACTGTGATGCATTAGTTTCACAGTAAGAAATATTGAATTCTTTGCCATTCTTCTCACATAACAGAAATCTTGTATTTGAGCTTAGTGCTGCTAATCTTCAACAAAATAAGAAAGAACAATAGTCAATATGTGGTTCTATTTTAACAAAGGATAAATCTTGTTTATTTTCACTGAAATATTATGAATACAAAAAATGCACAAAGTGGGACAAGCTCAGTTAGCCTAGAGCAGGGGTATCAAAAATAAGGCACGTGGAGCTAGATGAGTTTGACAGCCTGGCCTACTGGAAAAATCTGAGATCAAGAGCTCCTAAATGCCATCTCTATTTTATCATTTAATTATCAGTAAACAAATTAAAATTAACATAAACAGTCCAAGTAGTTGAAGAACTCTACCCTACATGATAGGATGGACATGAAAAGATCTATAAGCAATTTCTTCCAGACTAAACAGGCACAAGGAAATAGATACATTTTTTCCCTTTTACTCTCTTGGCATTGTGTTAACCAGCCTATAAAATATACAGTAAAACTGATACAATTCATAGTATACTCTATTTAAGTGCATAGCCTCAGGACTGAAAAAATGCTGTGCTCTTACCCAGAGTATGCTGTTATCTGAACTTAAAGAGCTCATTAAATAAGTAGTGCTGGCAGTACTGTGGTATTAGCATAGTAACTCAGTTACTGCATACTGTACTCAGTTTCAGGTATATTTATCTGTTGCTGCTCCCATGAACTAAACCATTATGAGGCAAGAAGAGATGCAACACATAGGTGCTTGCACACAATATCAAATGCAAGTTTCCTTCTACTCTAACACTAAAGCACAATTTACAGCTATTTTCTAAGACAGTGTTTGGAAAGGTTTAAATATGAAACCAAGTTCCTACTTGTGCCAGTGAACAGTTCCTTTAGCACAGCAATACTAAAGATGCTTGAGTTTATTTTTATTTGTAGCTTCAGTGTTTAGTAGCAAACAACATTCACAAGATAAAAGGATTTACATGATAAACCAGGAGGCCGCATCCAGACGAATGCGGCCGCGTTGTATGTGGTGCTGCAGATCCATCTGCAGTGCCACATACACTATATTCAGGTGTTTCCCACACTACTACCTTGCAGCACGGGGTATTTTTTTTGACCCCTGGATATCCAGGGGTCAAAAAACCTGCACATAAAAAAAGCCGGATAGTGCACGTACGTGCCACCCAAAACCAGAGCCTGCCCAGCTGGAGCCAGGCTCTGGCTGCCAACCAGGCTCCAAGCTGCAGAAGCACTGCGGATGCAGCTTCCCCGGCCCCCAAGTAAGGGTGCTGGGTCCAGCAACCGTGCTACCCCACTCAGGATAACCTGCCACGTGCAAGAGGGCACATGGCACGGGCGTTTTCTGGGGACAACTAGCAGCAGCACAAGTACAGAGATTTCAAACAGGTATCCATAGTGTTAAACATTTTGATCTGTTGTGGCCCTTCTGAGTTATTTGCAACAGAAGACTTGCTCTATTATTTTTCCATGATCAAAAAATGAGTGAAAGCTAAAAATGAGTGAAAGCCCTAGCGTTTTTTGAGGGGTTGCTTGACTGTAAAAAGTTTGAGAATCACTGATCTTCACCATCCCAGCTACATGTCTTTCTAGCCTTTTCTTGAAAAATTATAGTAAAAACAATTCTCGGTACAGTTTGCTCTGTGGTCTACTGTTCATACAGTGAGGAAGTATGTTCTGTGATTTAATCTAAATCATTTTTGCTGTAGTTTAAATCCACTGCCTCTTTTTTATGGAAGTTAATCAGATAGTTGAAAACAGAGCGGCACTATGATCAGTTTCTATGAACAAACACACACTTTGTTTTGTATCTTACCTAGAAATCTCAGCTTGGGAATTTTTCTCTCCATCAACTGTAAAAGGTGATGCTCCAGTTAATAACTCATACATAAGAACACCAAGACTCCACCAATCAACCGCCTACAGAAAAATAATTATATGTTATACAAACACAATATAAAAAAAGGAAAAAACAATGTCCCAAGTAAACAGGTAACAAAGAGAACTAGTTACTACATAATAATACAAAGAAAAAACTGGGGATGGTTGGGTTAGAGAATTAAAATATTAGAGAGTAATTAAATTGAGATAGAATATCATATAAACATAAAGAACAGTGGTTAGAAGGACTTCAAGAGGTTATCTAGTCTACTGAAAAACTTTTCACAATCTCCCTAGGTAACATATTTCAGTGCTTAAATGTCTTTACAATTAGAAAGTTTTTCCTAAAGTCTAAATCTCCATTGTTGCTATTTAACCCCATTACTTCTGATCTTATTCCCAGTTAAGACTGAACCTTCCTCTTTATGTAAACTTTTACATATTTGGAGATTCTTTATCATTTCTTCGCTCAGCCTCATGTTCATTCAGCTGAACACAATGAATTATTTTGGTCTTTTCTCTTAGATCATTTTTGTTGCTCTCCCCGAGAGTTCTTCCAATTGGTTCACACACCCTTCTTCAAAAGTGTTGCCCAAAAGTGGAAAAAGCAATTCATCTGAGGCCTTACAAGTGCTGCTGGGTAGGTACTCCAATTTTCACTCCAATTTAGTATTTGCTTTTCTCACACCAGCATGGAATTGCTAACACGTGTTCACTTGGTTATCTATGCTGACCCCCAGGCCATTTCTTGCAGAACTGCTGCCTAGCCAGGCATTCCCCGTTTTTGTATTTGTATAGTTGATTATTCCAACCTAACAGAGGTACTTTGCATTAGTCCTTATGTCATCCAGTTTATTGCAAACCATTTTGCTATTTGTCAAGATCATTTTGAATCCTAACATTGTCCACCAAAGTATGTATGTGCAACTTCTCCCAGCCTAACGTTATCTGTATGTTTAATAAGCATACAAAATAAAGTTAAACAGTATATTAAGAAATTTCTTCATTTGGATTTATAACAAATTACATACAAAAAAACTACAGAAAAATAGTTTAACCTGAACATTTTATTCTTGCTAGCTAATAAAAATTCTTATTTAAGATAAATTATAAATCTAATCAGGATAAGGGTATTTTCAACAGGTCCCAAACCATGAAGAAGTTCAAGCCTCATCAAAAATTAATGGAACTTGGATTCTAGGTACTTTGTGAAAAGAACTTGGAAACTTCTGAAAATTATACCCTTAAACTAACAGCGTAAAGTTCACCCAATTTGTGCTAACCAATGAATTTAATAGTCACAGACAAACTAGAAAGAGGCTGAGGAGAGCAACAAGAAAGGTAACAGGTTTATAAAACATGATCTGTGTGTAAAGACCATACAGGATTCACGATTATTCAGCTTAGAAAACAGAAGACTGAGGGGAACAGTCTTTAATACACAGAAATTATTATAAATGGGACAGAGATCAGTTGCTTTCCATTGACACTGGGGCAAGAGCAAATAAATAAATTAGTTTCATTTGCAGCAAAGCTTACTTAGATTGGATATTAGAGAAAACTTTGCAACTATTTGTGTGCTGAAACACTGGAAAAAGTTACCCAAGATCGCTGCAGAATCTGCTTTAGAGAAGATTATTAAAAAAGATAAAACAAACCTCTGTCAAGATTATCTAAATATGCTGAATTCTGTCTCACTTTAGGGGGTTAAGACTATTTGGTATCTATACGATTCTATGATTTATTATGAACGTTGAATCTCAAATTAATATAGAGTGAATCTGAGACTTTTTGAGAAAATTTCAAGTTTGACTTGAGGCCATGTTGAATAAAGAGCTTATTGAAATAGAGATTTAAACAACAGCATTTTTATCCATTAAAATTTAGGCAAACAGGATTAGAGCAAGATTTTTTAACGATTTCTACACACTCAAAGTCTTTAAGATATTTTTTAATACCTTAAAAAACCTGGGCCTGAAACTAAAAATGCCACATTTCCATGTTTTAAAAGACAAGAGATACCTTTATTTAAAATGACCTGAAAGGACAATACTTAAACTAGGTACAACCATCCTCTGCAAGAAACTCAAACTCAAACACAATGCTGCTTAAAGTAAAATTAAATTCTTAGCAGATTAGTCTGAATGAGAGAAGTCTTGAAATAGGAGAAGTGGGAGACCAATATTTACCAAAAATAAATAAATAAATAATTTTATTTTTTTTTAAAGCACAATCTGAAAATTATTAAACATTTACAAGAATACTTCACAGAATCATAGAAAAGTAGGACTGGAAGGGACCTCAGGAGTCCAAGCCCCTGCTCAAGACAGGATCATCGTTACCTAACCCATCCTAGACAAGTGATTGTCTAATCTATTCTAAAAACATTATAAACAACTCTCCTGTACAACTACCAGGTACGGTATCTAAAATATCAAACACCCTAGCCTGCCACAGTAAAGCAGCATTGAGACACACTCAATGTTCCGCCACTGCAAGGACTGGAAGTTGTTAAAATATGCTCAAGAGATCCATGGATCGGGACTATGCACCCCTGCTGCAAAGGAAGACAAAAACCCCACAGACCATGCCAATCTGAATGGGGGGCTAAATTTGTTCCTGATCCCAAATGAGGTGATTGGTCTGTCTGACCCTCAGCAGAGGTGCATGACTCTATAGCCAGAAACCTCTGTGTGCGTCTAGCACATACACACGTGTGTTTGCAGCAGCTCAAATAGGAACGGCACAAATTTGAGCAGAGAATTTTTGCCTCTGCACATGTGCCCGGACATGCACATTGGTGTGGGGCAAGGTGTGCCACTTGGGGCAAAATAACCCTGCCCAGCTCCTCCTGGCCCCAGCAGTATAAAAAGCTGCCCTGGCAAGTAGCTCAGGGCTACCTGCTCTCAGGAGCTTCAGGGGCCCAGCCAGTTGGTATCTGGGGACACCATCCCCTCATGTCAGCTGGACTGCTGAAGCAGCCCTAACCTAGAGTTCCCTGCACCCTCTACCCACTGCAGAAGTCTGGCAGTGGGGGCTGTTGCTTGGCTATGATCTGCTGCCACCTGCAACAGCACGTGGCTGTGGCAGGGCACTGTT